AGATAGATAGATAGATAGATAGATAGATAGATAGATAGATAGATAGATAGATAGACGACGGTCAACATTTTACAACTACAAACAAACATCACTCTCTCTTGGCGTCAGCATCTGCTGTACTTCATGAAGCCTGCTACAGTTTATTGTTGCCCCCACTTTACGGGGCGAGACACTGCGATAATTTGACGCTTTTTCCTAGGCTGTTCCGTGGCTGCACTCCACTCCGTGTGAATGGGCCTTTAGGGTTGTCTTATACGGGGTGCCCACCACGGCTGGATCGGCCCGACTCGGCCGTCTGAAACTGAAAATAAACACGTTAGTTTTAGAGGCGACCGAGTCGTGTGATCGGACCGATCGGCAGATCCCATCCGTAATGGGCCTTTAGGGTTGTCTTAGGTTCGTGGCCAAAACGTTGTGAACCGTGTTATTGTTAGAGGGAAATGTTATGGGGGTGGGGTGGGGTAGGGGGGGGGGGTACATTGTGGTTGACGAGGGGTTCTGAGTACAGGTACATTAGACGCGGATTCAAATCGTTGGCTTTTATGTCATTTCACGCAGCATTAAAGTAGGCTCGCTTGTTGATGGATTTTTTTGTTTTTATTTTTTGGGGTTGTTTTTTATTTGTTTGTTTGTTGGGGGGTTGGGGGTGGGGTGGGATGGGGGGTTGAGGGGAGGGGGGGTGCGATATTGCGTTCTGGTGTTTGATGGCAGATCTTCCAGGTACTAAATCCTTGGACTGCGGGGTCATGCACTGGTGTGAATACCTTTATTTGAATACCTTTATTATGCGTTAGATGTCAGACCTACCGGGTATAACGGATTATTTACGACCTGCAATATGAGCCTTCATGAAAAAGGGGCTTAGTGTTCACTTCCAGTTCAAAGAAAGACAAGAAGAGGTACAGGGTCACTCGGTTCAGGGAAAATATAGCAGGGGATACGGACAAAAACAACAGAAGGAAAATATAGCAGGATATACGGGTAAAACGACAGAAGGAAAAGAAGGAAAATATAGCAAGAAGGAAAATATAGCAGGATATACGGGTAAAACGACAGAAGGAAAAGAAGGAACATATAGCAAGAAGGAAAATATAGCAGGATATACAGACAAAAACAGGAGGAAACCAAAGGAGGGTGG